TGAATGTCTTAATGATGTCATATTTTTTGTGATCTTAGACTCGTTGGATTCGTCTCGTCAAGCTGCTTGATTCGACTATAAGCACATTATGTTTGGAAACCGTTTAGTAATCCAAATTGTGATTCAAACCTTCCAACAGTGCTTATATCCCTTGATTTGGACCTGTTTGGGCTCAGATTGGGTTGGATTTGGTGTCGTTGGGTTCATATTTTCGATACATTTAGTTTGAGTGTAAGTTTGCTGAAATCAGAGTTCAGATGGTCCCAATTTTAATTTTGGAAGTTTCCAACATGAGTTTACATCGAGATTCGTGCCTGATTAAGATAATTTTTTATGACATATGTGTGTGTGTGTGTATTGGTGATGAGAAACGTCCGCTTCCACATCCGGCTTCGTCGAGCGCGCTTGGCAGTCCGTAAATCCCGGCCGACCTAAAGGGCCACCCAGGCCACTAACCCATAGTCGGAGCTTATGGGCCCCCACTTAAGGGCCGACCGCCGCTCGATGGAATCAAACTCATGATGGGGGGTTCCCACCTGAGCACGTCCACCAACCAAACTAAACATCGGTGGATGTATATATATATATATATATATGATTCATATCTTCATGAGTACTAAAAATCAGTTTCTTCTTCATCACCGCTGGGGTTATCGGGTTAGGTCAGTTCTCCATGAGTCCAACTCTCTAAAAATTTTAATGGGCTGGCTCTATTGATTATGAGCATAAGCAGGGTACTCTAATCAAGCTCATTTATTGTTTAAAACCTCCATTATGGCTCATGGATGACAACAAAAATGAATAAAAAAATTTATTAGCTTAAAAGGTGCACAATGAGGGTTTGAATTGAGCATACCTGGCATTATTAAACTTCTTTCAGAATTAGATTTGATTTTGGATGACTTTATTATTGTTTTATAAAACAACTTTTTAGTACAAAATTTTTTTTTTAAAAAAAAAGTATACTAAAAAGCGATTTTAAGAAACAGAAAGAAAAATGTCCCAAACGAAGCTTTTAGTCTAGTTTTGAACCCTCTCAAAAACACGAGGAAAATAAAATAATTAGTTATAACTAATACGGCTATAAAAAAATATATTATGTACATGAATCTCGAGGTAATATTTGAATTAGAAACTTTTATAATTAAATTTATGATAATATGAACTCCAATTTCAACAAAATTATAATCAAATTCAACGTCTCAATAAGATGAACCAACAACACTAAATTTGATATAATCCGAGTCTAAATGAGCACAAATCAAACACTTGAAGTAATAAAAAAAAAATTGAGCATTAATTTGAAGGTCAAATGATCTCCAAATTTGGCATGCTTATAGTCGAATCAAGCAGTTCGACAAAACAAATCCAACGAGCCTAAAAACACTCAATTCTAACATCATTAAGACACTTAAACTCTAAAAAAATACTTCACGGATAAGGGGATTATTATAGATGCACATGATGGAGTGTGTTTTATTATGATTCAAATTACCAAAATGCTCATTCTAAAAATCCTAAAAATAGAGCCTCATCATCCACATAAAAGTCATTGAAGAAATTAGAAAACTAGAGAGCTTCTTTATATTTTCCAACTATCGCCATTGACAACAACCACCACCAATGATTGCTTCAATCTCCAAACTCTTGTCAATATTTAACCATGTTGTTGAATATTGACTATCTTTTTTACGGACATCAAACTTCTATAATTCCTATAGGAAAAATCAAGTCATATTATTGGGTGTTAACTGTCTATTTGTGAATATTTGATTTATGTAATCTCCTTCAAGAAAATCCAAACATTTATTTTAAAAAATCCTCTCTTTTATGAACTTTTATTTTATCCAGTGAACGTACGCAGAGGAACGTTCGGTTTTAGGCAAAAAAAACGTCTGTACTGAGTACCGAGGTGTACCGAGTTTTTTCAAAAAACTCGGTACCGGCGCTTTTTTGCCTAAAACCGAACGTTCCTCTACGTACGTTCACTGGATATAATAAAAGTTCCTCTTTTATAGCTGTGAGAAATGGAGGATTATCATATCATCTACTACATAGTGGACATTTCCAACTGGGCTAGACCCACTGGATTTTCCCTTTTTTTTTGTTTTCTTATCTATAATTGTTTATATCCACATAAATAATATAGAGCATCAAAATTCAAACATCAATACCCAAATGAATATTAAAAAAAAAAAATTAGAATTTATTTTTAAAAGCATCCATTTCAAAATTAACAAATTTTATTATTTAATTACAAAAATAGGACTTGTATGATCACTAATACACCAATCTGGTATGTTCTATTTTCATCTCCCTGTGGCTTTCAAGCACCATTGTTGACGCTTAAAAATTAATAATTAACATGCCCAAATCCAATTGTAATTATCCAATTGTAATTAGAGCTTGGTTGTCCCTTGTGGCCTATACTTAGAGGGAAAATTAATGATATGAGTCTTACAATTGGATGAGTTATTGAGATATTAGCTCTTATAGTTGTTAAAGATGTAGTTGGACGATGATAGTCGGAGGATCATAATTGGGTGATGGTGGTCGGAGGATTTTCGATAGATGTAGTTGGAGGCTGATAGCTGGAGGATCATAACTGGGTGACGATGTTCGGAGGATTGAAGTCAAACAACAATAATCTACGAATCAAAGTAGGCCGAAAAAAACCATATTGCTGTAATTATGTCAGGCAATAATTATGAACCTTTAGAGATATACAAACAAAGAGGCGAGGCTAGACCTTGCAGTGCTGCCATTGCAAAGTGTGAACTATTGAGTGAGAGAAGCTCGATGAGGTCGTCTAGAAAGGAGATATTGTGAGACGTTGAGTCAATGAGGAAATGTTTGTCTGATAGATTGTGAGAGACATTTGTAAACTAACTTTAGGATTCTTAACTTGGGACCTGCAATAAGTATTATGGGTTTGTTTGAGACAAACTGTTTTTTAAAGCAACATTTTAGTGCAAAAATTTCATAAACTATACATTTTTATACTAATAAAACTGCTTTAGCAAGCAATAAGAATTTATCCCATATGGGTTCTATCTTTGCCTTATGCCTTACTACTACCACTATAATGAGTGGGCTGGTCTTTGAGATGTTGGAAGCTATGGCTTTGGTTCAGTTTATTCAAATATGATACGACCTACATCAGAGATTAAAAATTTTTTAGTTGGGTTTGCAATATAATTGAGCTTTAATTAACTCTAATTAATTATTGATTGATACTGATGATTTAAACATCAACCATAATTAATTTATATACATACTTTTATTTATAGATGTTAATTAAAATTGATATAATTCATTTGATATCCTTTATTATGTAATGAAATTTAAAGACAAATAAAAAGATATAAATTTGCTTATCTAAATATTTGATATAAGTAATTATATGAAATTGTTACGCAATGAATTAAATGATTATTATTATGTGATAGAATATATGTGTGATAGATATAGAATTTTTATGTCTTTATTTTTCACAAAAGAACCAACACACATGGATAATAAAAAATAATGCAATTGAAATTGACTAGACGATGATAGCTAGGAGAGAACAGATGAATGCATTGTAATGATGGGGGCGATATTCATCAAAAGAATATTAACGAGAGACCGCGGTCTAATGACGATGAGCATGGGCGGATCCAATGTGAGTAATTTGGGCATTTTGCGGCCCCACCCCCCCCCTAAAAAATAATTTTTGTCATAATGTTATCAATCCTATGCATCTTTGCCCATCCCGCACAAAAAAAATATATTTTTTTTTTGCCCTCCCTAAAAAAAGAAGCTGGATTCGCCCCTGACGATGAGTAGATTTGATGATGGACAATTATTATTAGACAATAATAGTTTAGAGATGACGGTCGAATGACTATGAATGGATTGTGATGATTGGACGATGGTGGTGGTATGATGACGATGGTTTGGAAATGATGACAAAATGCTGGTGATTGGATTGTGATGATCGAGTTACAATTATTAGATGATGATGGACGAAAGATGACAGTCGGCTGATGGTGGATGGATTGTGATGATCAAGTCACATTGATTAGACGATAATGAAGAAGAAATCATATGATAGTGAACGAATTATGATGAGCAATTGATAGTGGTCAAATAATAATAGTATGAAGACGATTATTGGATGACAACAATCGAGCGATGATGGTCCAATAATAACAACCCGTGACAGTGATGGCTGATGATAATTTTTTGCATCAAACTCAAGCAGAGCTCTAATGTTGTTCATATCTCCACACTCGTATCTAGGCCATTTATATAGAGAATAAAGAGATATTTATAGTACTTTTATAGTAGGCATTTTCACAATTTAACAAAAAAATCCTTAACACTTCATCTAGCAACTCATATTGAATTCTTTAATTATAAATTATTTATTCATTCATTAGGTACTTTAATGGCTTCTTAATCGAGTTACATTGAGTTATTTGGATTCATTTCGTCGACCCGCTATTCTAAGACCATTTGGTCATTCAACTAATATCCCAAAGTTTTCGATTGTCCGTCAAGTGCTCGTTATGTGCTTATTCAGTCTTGAATCGCATTACATTTAATGTCCTTGCATTTATCTTATCAATATGCACAATCTGACCATAAATTGTTGAAATCAAAGTTTAGATGATTCTAAATTTGATGGTGGGAGTTTCCAAAACAAACATTGCAACAAGATTTATGTGGATAAAAATGAATATTGTTAAGACATGTCCATTGTTAAATATAAATAAATAAATAAATATATAATAATAATAATAATACTTTAATATAAAAATTAAATAATTTTAATAAAATGGTGTTTAAAATTCTAGCGTTAATATATTTTAAATATTTTTATATTAATATTTTGAAACTAATCGACTTGGAACGAGCAGTCAAAACAGAAAAAATGGCTCAAGCTGTTGACCTCACGGGTCCGACCCCTAGCCGGCTCATGAGCCGTAATCACAGGTAGAAAGCCATGACACGTAGCATTTCTTATAGCCTCGACGCTGCCCGCGTTGTCGTCGAAGATGTCGAGACGGAGCATTCTCCGAGGCATTTGCAACGCCGGCTTTGCCTCGTCGGTCTCGCCGGCCGGAACTTCACCGCGGTGGCGCTCGTGTTCCACGCGGAGGTTCGCGGCTTTATGGGGCAATGGTGATTACGGAAGGCTGGGGCTTGGAAACTTGGAGTCTAGGTGGAAGCCTACTCCTTGCTCCTTTTTTGACAGGGACGACGACCCTCCGGTTGCTATCTCATGCGGCGGTGCTCACACGCTCTTCTTGACCGGTGATTTTGTTTATCCTGGATATTATTTCGTTGTTCAATTTCCTTTTTAGATCGGTTGAGATAAGATTATCACATCACTATCGCTAACTTTAGTCTGCCTTTGAAATGATGCATTCGTAATTACTGACAACGATCTTGATATTTATGTTTGCTTTTTTTTAAACATTTGATAGAATTATTTCCATTTTGGAATGAAATAGTGAACAGATGCTTGCCCTTCTTAATTGTAGTTATTAGTGTTGAGCAGGGAATGAGATATTTCTGAAGTTTTCCTTCATTTTTTGATAACAAATCTGAATGACAGAAGGGGAACATGGTGTGAGGTTTTTATGTGAAGTCAACAAATTGATTGGTGTTGCCTTAGGGTCTGTAGTGAAGGCAACAATTTGATTGGTTCCGCTTTAGGGTGGAAACGAGCATTCAAAGTTTGCACATATTTGATACTAAAACTTCTAGGGTTGTAAAAGGAAAAAAATTCTTAGATAAAAATGAGGAGGAACTTCTGATCACATGTTTGATATTAGGGAATGATGGGGTTTTTATGAATTTTGGATAAGTGGTTAAATAGTTATGATATTTTTAATCTTGTTGTTCACACTAGGAAATTGTCTCTCTATATTGAATTTTGCCTATGCTATCTTGGGTTATTGGGGAGTTGAGACATTGGAAGATCATGAGGGATTTTGGTAATATTTGGATGAATTTTGAAAAGTTTGGATGTGTTTGAGTTTGAGGGAAGTTAGACTGGAGGTTATGTAGAAGAGATAAAAATTGTGCTGGAAAAGAGGAGAAATAAGTATTATAAAAGATAATTAAGAACTCACTAAAGTTATGAAGGATCAATTACCAAGCTTCACCGGAGAGTAAAATAACCATCAAATCTTTTTATATGAAATTTGCACAAGCAAAAATAATTTTTTATTTAATGAATGAAAAATACAAACAACTTTGAAAAGACTTATGAGCTAATAAAACAATATGATATAGATTTATAACTTGTCTAATACAAAGAGAAATACAACAACAACAACAACAATAACAATATCAACCCTTTGTCCCACTACGTGGGGTCGGCTACATGAATCCTTTTTCTCCAATATGTCCTGTTAAAAGTCAAATTCTCATTTAAATCTAATGATCATTTATAATATTTTCTAACCAAGTCTTTTTAGGTCTACCTCTACCTTTCTTAACATAAGTCAAATCTAATATCTCAATTTTGTTAACCGGGTTATCGGAAGGCCTCCGTTTAATGTGACCAAACCATCTAAGGTGACTCTCTCTAATCTTATCTTCCACTGGAGCTACTCCAACCTTTTCACGTATTGCTCATTTCGTATCCTATCTCTAAGGGTAAAGCCACTCATCCACCTAAGCATCATCGTCTCTACAACACTTAACTCAGTATTATGCTTCTCTTTTAATGGCCAACATTCGACACCATAAAACATTGCAGGTCTCACCACCATCTTGTAGAATTTTCCCTTAAGTTTGAGGGGACTTTTCTATCGCACTACAAGCCCGATGCATTCCTCCAATTAAACCATCCAACTTGAGTTCTGCTGATAATATCCCCATTTATTTTACCATCACTCTGAACAATAGATCCAATATATCTAAAAC